GAATCTATATCAAAAAGTTTATTGATAAAAACTATTATTATTTGTGTAAAGTAAATGAAATCTGCCCTGCATAGTTAGGGAATACAGGTGAAATGTATTGCTTGTCAGGATTATCTTCATTAAATTACGTTTTAAAAATTATTATTATTATTCTGAACCCTATATAACGAATATCCGGTCGGGTATTTTTCAACTATCCAACATATCCGGTTTCCAGCCTAATCATATAGAGGGCAAAGTACAAATTTATTGGTTGGAATTGGAAGATATAGAGACGTACGAGGTTCAAGAACTTGACAAGTTCACAATTAACTTACGAATAAATTTTGCCCTCTATGATTAACAAGTAATCGCACAGTTCCTCGTTAATTTCACTTGTGTTGTCGAGGTTTCACAAATTGCCCTCGTCGCGATTAATTTTACTCGACCCCATGCGATTACCTATACTAATAATATACATGAAAAATATTCTCAATTCTGATTGGCTGAGAGCAGTGCAATTTCTTCGAAATACAGTGCCAAAAAAGTGAAATACATGCAGTGCAAAAAAATGAAATACAGTGTCAGTGCAAATTAATTTTCTTAATTTCTAAATGTGACTTACGCACGTGACTGCATATTTTTTTCATGTATATTATTAGTAAGTTATGGTATGGTTTTTCGTGCAATTTGAAAAAAACATACACTCGTGAGTTTTTCAAATAATTCAAATTCACTCGTCTTTCGGACTGGTGCAATTTTGATAGTCTATCTATTTATCTAGGGGTACAATCTCGGTTTAATACAAACGCAATATGCACCTCTACGGCTCTACCCCATGCCACCAATATGCACCTCTATACACCATATCATTAAATGTACTGGATTCTTTGAGTATATAATATATCGCTAGATTCCGTAAAAAAAATACTTTACATCTAATTTTCCAGCTTCAAGAAGCAATGGCTACACCGATGGAGAACTTACGTACGACTGCGCAAACTCTGCTACATGATGGCGAACTGGCGAAAAAATGGAAGGATATGAACGCAGATGAAAAACCCGAAAACTAGTAAGTGTTACACTCATTATTACTCGGTAGGCAAATTGTCCACAATTGGTCATTTGCGGGCGTTTCATATCCGGGAAAATCCACCTTCTTAAAGGTCATTTCAGGAGAAAAGGCTAAAAATCTTGTACCAAATAACACAAAATACAAAAGGACAGTAACTCCAAATAACATTTTGTAGCTTTAATGAATCTACAGGTACGTTTCGACTATATTTTAGTCATCATCAGGACAGATTAGTGTAATGTTACAAATACTGATATATATATATATATATATATATATATATATATATATATATATATATATATATATATCAGTATTTGTAACATTACACTAATCTGTCCTGATGATGACTAAAATATAGTCGAAACGTACCTGTAGATTCATTAAAGCTACAAAATGTTATTTGGAGTTACTGTCCTTTTGTATTTTGTGTTATTTGGTACAAGATTTATATATATATATATATATATATATATATATATATATATATATATATATATATATATATATATATATATATATATATATATATATGTTGATTGATTGAAATCTTTATCTAAACACGGTGGTTTTATCAAACGGAATAAATAATAATTATTTACAATTTGTTCTTCCTAAAAGCCGTGTATAATTTACGATATACGTACATTTTTACATTTTTTTTGGAATTTTTGAAAGAAAAGGGACTATTTACAAATATTCATAGAATAATAACTGACTATGTTGGTGCAGATAGCAGATGTTCTAATCTTTTTATGAACCTTTTTAATTAAGGTTCATGTTTAAGTTCGTCTGGTAAAGAATTCCATAGCTTTGCTCCAGTGACAGTGACAGTGCAATTAACAGTGCAATGTAATGTTAACAAAAACAAAAGCGTGCGCAGCGAATAAATTTCACTCACTTAGCAAATAAATTTTTACATTGTCATTGGCGTGTTAATTAAATTAAACCACCTTGCAATTCCATTCACAAATGTAAATAATCATGTAAATATTTTCTCTGAAATGTTGATTTTCTATGCTTAGTATGTGATTTTTAACAAACACATCATTAAAACAGTGTTTTGAAAACCTAGTTTTTACAAAATGTGTTCTCAGAATGATTCAAATTTTAAAACTTTTCCGTGCCTTCGGCACGAGAACTTATTTGAACTGTCCGCGCCACTGCTGCTTGTATTTTACACACGATCTCCAAACATAGATGGCAAATAGTTCTGGTCTGATTCTATTATTGTGCGGAAATTTCTGGCACTACGTGGAATACTTTTGGAATGTCGACATTTCTGCTTTTTTATGTAGAACACCCTTCGCTATTAACGTTACATTTAAACATTACTGTTTAGCATTAGGGGTATGTATAGGAATATAGTGTTAATATGAAAATTTCCGCTTTTGTTTCAGTGTTGCCGTGGTACAAACTTATACACAGAAAGTGGAAGAAATCATGGGAAGTTTTCGGAGAAGAGTAACTTTTAGAGACAGTAAGTTCATACATATTAATTTTGTTTTTGACTGAAATTTTGGCAAAAATAGAAAGTTTTCAGTTCAATCTTCATAATTTATACTGTGATGATTTAGATGATCGTGTGCCTTTCACCCAGTTAACTCTAAAAGGACTGGAACGATAACTTGGCTACCATCTTTGAAGTCACTCATGATGGTTTCCATGTCCATACGCAGCCCAAAAAAAACAACCACAACGATTTATTCACGTTTTACTGCAGTTAAAGCAATTACTAAAAGCTCAAAATAGACTTCAATACCTCGACTTCAGTGGAAGATAGGTTTTTGGACCGTGGAAATGTTCATTTTGGCTCAAAAACAAACTTGTTGACTGAATTTCCGCTCCTCAAAACTTCCAACAGTTGTTTTATAAGTACATTCCCGCGCTCAGCTTCAAGTTAGCTGGAGGACTTGGTCATTCGAGTTAGCGTTCCAGTTTATAGAGCGTGCACTGCTTTCACCTTTGTAAGGGAATGTGTAAAACTGATAGAATTCCCCATGCAGTATAAATAAAGTTAGCAATAACTCTTGATCTGAAAGATAACCGACTTGATGACGTCACGTTGTTTCCATTTAGCATGTTCCACCCAGGATTTGGAGGACCATAAATTTGAAAGGTAAATACTAGCGCAGGAAAGTATTGTCTTTTGTAATATATTTTATCTTTTTTATTTTGTAATATATTTAGGGCTGTTCACAAAATTGCTCCAGATTATATAAGTAACCTTATCAGCCTCAAGGGGTCTACAAGATATAGTCTCCGTTCAAGAAACACTATGCTATTAAGTGTTACGTCAGGGAAATCACTAAAGACTTTAGGCGATAGAGCATTTTGCATGCCAGCTAGCTCCTGCACTGTGGAACACTTTACCATGTCATATAAGAAGTTGCTCATCCTTAAAGGTGCTCTACAGTCCGATCTGCGCATGTGCACAAAGGAGCCCACTTTTTTTATACAAACAGTTTAACTATGTTTTGGGTTCTTGAAAGGCCTGATTGTTGTTTCTTGATCATTTATTGTACTCTAGAAGCTTGGAAATATAAATAGTTGTCGAATAAAGCTCAATATTTTGGACACAAAAATGTAAACAAAGGCTTTGTTTACATACGGACTGTAGGGCACCTTTAAATATTTTTAAACAGTCTATTAAGACATTTTTAATCCGTCAAGCTTTTGAATAGCTGTCCTGGAACGGTTAAGCTAAATTTAATATGTATTGATATTTTATATGTAACATATTTAGACATACTGTCATTTTTTAAATCTTTGTCATGCGCATTTGAAAACTGCAAGATTGATAATTGCGCAATATAAATCAATAAATTATTATTAATTATTTTTAAATTATTATCTGGCCAGTGTGACATTAATGATATTAATGACCTGTTGAAACACTAACTTAAATTTTCCGTATTCACTTCAGGTTACGTTTGGAAGAATACTTCGTCAAAGCGAAAGATACAATGGATTCCTGTCAAACCAGAAGACAAAATTTACATGAAAATTTACGAATTTGGTTGGAGTAAGAACGACTTAGTTTTCAAATTTAGTATTTAGTATATTACAGTACAAAACAAGTGTAACTCCAAAGATCGATAACATTTTTTAAACTTATCAAAGCTCTGTCGTCTATGAATTTACTTGCCCTGGATGTAATAGTAGGTACATCGGCAAAACTGGCCGCTGCTTATACACCAGAACTAAGGAGCATTCATATCACACGGAATCTGTAATCCATCAACACTACTTGCGAACAGTTTCAGCATATTAAAGCTCTTTTAGAACTATATCCTGACGATGACGCGAAGTCTAATCAAACCAATATAATGGCTGAACATGTTTTCCATAATACTAAAGTAATTGATAAATCTAACCATGCATTGGTCCCTTTTGCTGTATCAAGAATCCCTCGCTGTTCAAAGATATAAACCTGAACTTAATCATGGAATTGAAGCTTCTAAAGAACTAATCGTATTTAATTAATTCATTAATAATTACCATAATGACTGTATCCTATTTATTCATATAAATACTGCTTTTGATGTATAACTTAGCTAGTTTATCCTGATGATGACTGAAATATAGTCGAAACGTATTGATAAATGTAAAAATGTTATTGATCTTTGGAGTTACGCTTGTTTTGTATTTTATTAAATTACTCAGTGGTTCTAAAAACGTTTGGTATATATACAGTAACAGGATGGTTTCGATTGCAATTTGGATAAAAGATGCACGAGTGAGTTTTTCAAAGACTTCAAACTAGCACGACTCCGAAGGACGAGTGCTATTTGAGGTCTCTGAAAAACTCACAAGTGCTTGTTTTACCTAAATTTTATGAGAAACCATGAAACCAGAAACCATTGCTTGCTTGCTTGCTTGCTTGCTTGCTTGCTTGCTTGCTTGCTTGCTTGCTTGCTTGCTTGCTTGCTTGCTTGCTTGCTTGCTTGCTTGCTTGCTTACCGAATGCTAGCCCGAAATTGACCAAACCTGCCAAAGCCAGCCGAGTAAAGGCCTAGGTCTAGGCTGATTGAGCTCATTGTATTTTCGTATATGACGAAGTAATCGTCCAAGTTGAACAAAGGATTTGGTCACGGTGAGGTACACAGTTCAACATCAGACAAAGGTCTTCTATTTTGTGACTTCCAGACCATCACATCTTGACAGACTATGACTGAACAAACCCCACCCTTTCCTCTCTGGGATGGCTCGACGTTTGTGTAATTGGGCTTGAAGTGCATGTTATAAAGATTGTGCAGGTTCAATATTGGGGAAAACAGAATAAAACAGCCTCTCACCATGGACACTCTCGTTTTCAAAGTCTCCACTTTCAAAGCCGTTTTCATAGGTGAAGGTATCCGTTTTCTGTCCTATTAGTTGGAGTGTGAACGATCGACCAAAACGCATACGAAGGTATTCGTTTTCGAACGAATATTGATTAGTGTGGACGGGGTCGTAGTATCACTCCACCAAACAGTGTAGGTTTTCTTAATTTTATTTAGTAAATACTGTTTTGTTCACAACTATTGCAGGAGCTATAATTATTTATTTTCGTTTTTTTTGTCATTTTTGTTTTGTTATGCATGCATGGTATATACTAAAGCAATTATTCACCTCAGTGTCGGTGAACAGTGCAAGGATATTCTTCACTTCAGTGAATAATTGTTAAACTATGTAATTTTAGAGACGTGTACAGTTGTCGAAGCAAGTTGAAGAAAATGCGAAAGGAAGTGGAATCATTTATTGAAATGTTCAATGCTCTGGCAGTTAGTGAAGAGCAGGTAGGTTAAGATCATACACTGTTCTTCAGTTAAGATCATACACTGTACAATTTCCATTCTATGGCCTTCTATGGATTTTCAAAATATTTTCCAGTGTGAGTTACGCTAAAATGCTATTATAGCTATTAATATAGCGTACACCATGCAAGGGACTGTTCTTAGATCCCTCTACATGTTGTGTACTTAAAGTTAATAGTATACATATCAACATTAGACCTAATTTCTCTTTGCCTTATTTCTCCAACTCTTTCTGGGAGTGAATGGTGCAAACGGTGCTCTAGTGAAGATAATTTTGTTATTAAAACTTTACTTTACGTAGTATTTCGCAAAGTCTTAAAAGCACTTTATTTCCGGCAAAGCTTTTTCAAAAATTAAAAAGATATTTCTAATAGTATGTCAGTATATCAGACCACAGGCTTAACAAATAATTATTTTATTAATTACAACGTTTCGGAGTATGATTCCATGCTCAGGTCCAAAATTGGTACAATATCAAAAATCTTTATTCGTTATTATATCGTACCTATCTTTAAACCTGAGCATGGAGTTAGTCTCCAAAACGTTGTAATTAGT